GATCGATTATGTCAACTCCCTCACTTTGTCAAATGCCACAAGAAACCTCTCCTGGGCTTGAATTCTTAAGAAAAATATTCAAGTTTGCATAGAGAAAAAGAAATGTGTCGTTGTGTGTACACATATTTGATAAAACATGAAACTAGGCATTTTACCTTAACTGGACGATTCCTCGCGCGCCGATTGGCCACAATCCATGCATGTACCAGACCATACATACCATAGAAATAACTGGATGGTGACACAATTTGTTTTTCCCTTTCTCGCGTGCGCGATTGTCCGAGAAACTTCAACGGCAAAAACCCTCAAAACAGTCCATGTTGTGGTAGAAATGGAGTCAAAAGTTCAAAACTTTGCAGTAAAACCACACTGAAACCGCTCGCCTGAGCTCGTGGTTACACTTGAGTTTTGAACATTTTGACGACATTTCTGCAGTCGATAAGAGTACAGACCATGGATAATTGTTGTCTATTTGTTTAATTCACGTCGTAGTTGTGCAATGACTGCAAAGAAAGGTACAAAAGAATGTGCTGTTCGTACAAGCTGTTGCTTTTCTAATTTTGCCCTATTGCTTTTTTGGCTCTCTCGATGCCGTTTCCATCGCCGTAGTGACATCTTAAAAGCTCCTTATTACAATATTTAAAGCTAGTGAAAGGTTTGAACCCAGGATAATTGTAATTTATTTTACTTTAAGAAATAAGCGTTGACAGGCCAAACACGACTCATAAGCTCGTGATAATGTGAAACGTGACCTTGAGAGTCTGCTTGAACAGTAGCCTGCGAACAGCAGACGTCTGCTGTTCGCAGGCTACTTGAACAGTGGTTCTCTTTCTTTTTTTTTCTCTCGCTCGGTTACTAGCACTGCACAGTGCATGACTTGTAGCATTCTAAACTTTGACTGACTAAGTCTTATATTTAGAGGTCATGAAGCAGAATTGTTACATGCATACTGAGTAATCATGGCCTGTGGTTTATGCTTCTGTAGGTGTCCCTGATAGGATTTGATTTCAGATGCAGTTGTAAAGTGCTTTATATCCTGTGACCTATGTTTATTACGGCTGAATAAAGATTTTAGTTTTTTTGGTTTTCTCCGAAATGACTGTATCTGAATAACTACATGCATGCATGCAAGTTTGTTTGCCCGTGAATGTGATTATTTCCTGCCATGTCAGTATGACTCTCTGCCCATCTCTATAGTGTGGATTGCAGGATTTTGAATTTCCACGGATAGTGCGATCTTTAGATTTGAGTTGTACACTGTAGCTTAAACTAAAGCTACACCAAGTTTGGAGAATATGCCGTGCGTCAGTCAAGACAATTCTCCTTGCGCTCACACAGTCCATTTAGTTTTTCTTAACATAAGTGAGTCTTTGAACTAGAACGCGATGTCTTGTTGTTCCTTCGCAAGTATTTACTTAAGTTTTTGCTTAACAGTCGTCTATGCGACTGCTATGAATTCTTAAGCAAGACTGCAGTTTCGGAACTACAGCGTTCCTCGTCAGTTGCTACTATGGTAAAGTCTTAGGTACAGAGAGCGGAGCTCTCTCGAACGTGAAGGGCGCGCAGCGGAGCATAATGGATAGTAAAATTTGCTTAGCTATGCATTCAAGCAGAAGCATACACATGAATTCTCTATTCTGATCAAATAAATTTTGGTGAGGAAAAAATCGTCAGTACGTACATCTGTTCCTTCATGCTTGCGAATGTCTCTAAGCTTTCCTCGCTTTGAATTCAATAAGTATAGGTAATCACATGATTTCGAGTGCAATTTGGAATAAATAACCACGAGTAAATTTTTCAAAGACCAACAAAAGTGCACGAGCGCGTATTCAGAGTGCACTTTGTGGTCTTTGAAAAATTTACAAGTGCTTATTTATTCCAAATTGCACGAGAAAAATCATGTGATTACTTATTAATAACATACACGAAAAACATAGCTACAACAACAAATTTTGACATCGTGCGAGTTTTTAGTTCATTCAACTAATTGGCTGAAACAGACTAGTACCTTGTCAAATTCAAACTTTTTCAAGACCAACGCTTTCAAAATCATTCAGCTAAGAACTTGGAAATGTACAAGGATTGATTTTATCTGGTCATCAGCCTGTTAAAGATAACTCGGTTTACAATAATCAGCAAACGAAAGTGTTTTTAAATTCATCCTCGATTATAAGAGCTCGGCATTTATGCATCAGTCAATTCCAGCTGCGCCCAGCCCCCCGCCCCCCGGGCGCACCCCCGGGCATTAGCATTTTTTTTGCCTTGGATGGCAAATTCCCGGGGGTGGGGACTCTTGAGCTGTCAAATCCCTCGGGGTGGGGACGACTAAAGAGGGCAATGCTCCTTCCTCCGTCAACACTGCAACATTTTTCATTGATCGCACAGTCGAATAATGCCGTTTTAAGCATTTTAACGTGCGATTTTTTGTTTCAATTAACGTCTTCCTTTGTAACAGCGCTAGGGTTCTAACGAAGACTTCACGCCGCGACGACATGTACCAGTTTATGGTTTTAGTATTGAGTAAAATTATTGAAATTAAAATGAATAGAGCACTGTAACGTTATATGTTACGAATAGCTTTATAAATATGAAAGGATGTTCTTCAAATAATATCAACAGAAATTTGATTCAATAACCAAAAAACGTTGATTCACATCGACAGCTCCGGTTTTCGCTATGTATAAATTCTTGCTTAATAAGCAATGAAGAAATGCATGCATAAAAATCGAGAACATGCCTTTACAACCCCCTTCAATTTATTCCTGTCCTTGACAGTTTAGCCAATCTGCTTTTTTTCCAGTAAAACCTTCTGTGTAGTTATATTCTGATAGGAAATTGCGTGCGTGTCAAAAGCTTGGGAATGGCCCCGGGGTTGGCAAATGCCCGGCCCCCGGGCAGTGCAAAATTTGCAAATGCCCCACCCCCGGGACTGACAAGGCGGGCAAATGCCCAGCAGTAGCCCGGGGGGGGCGGGAAAGGGCTGGGCGCAGCTGGATTTGACTGATGCATTACAAGAAGCTTTTACAATAAGTATACTGCCGTTTTGAAATCAGAAGAACGTTTCGAGCAGCCAAAGATGAAAGCCACGTGCTAAGGTTTTTTTAACGACTGTTCATCGTTGTCTGTTCCTGAGACCTCATCATGGCTGGATTCATGGAGAAATTTTTGAGTTTTAAAACCCGAAAATGAAGAAGGCAATTTGTTTTCTTCCGACGCCGCCATCGATGGGTGAGTGGAACCACAGTTGTTGTGGTGTCGGAAACTGCCAGTATTAATATAATATTTGCTTTTCCTCAGCGCTGGGGTATTCATTATTTCATTTGGCCTACTGCAAGAGGCATCGTAGCTCTTCTTCGTCGGCATCATCGTAGTCGTTAAGGAAATTTATACCTCTGTGGCCTGTGACCGATATGTTCCGAACTTACAATCTTAGCTTTCTTCACCTTCCTTTTTTTTTCTTGCACAATGATTCGTAAACTTCTTTCTCACTTTCTTTAAGGCTAGTATCAGCTACGGATACTTTCATTCTGTTAGTTATGGTATTTTCGCCCATTGGTTTAGTTTGGACCAGATGTTTAAATTTTCGGTCTCGTTTGCCACTGCGGTAGAGAAAAACGGGCCACCGCATGGATGTTTTAATACAGGTCTTCGCTCCTCAAAAGACTCAAAGAAAGCAACCGGACATTTTTCTCCTCCAACAAATAACGTACGTGACTTGAAATCCCTGTTGTTATCATGGAAAAAACTTGTATCCTTGTTTACTTAAATACCTGAAAAGTGTAGCTGTCATGGTTTGCGTGTGGTTACAACCGTTTTTGTTCTTTATTTTTTACTTTAGCGTAGTCTGTTATAAGTAGCTTCTTTTTTAGTTTCTCTGGCTCATTTTCCTCGATTTTGTTGATAGTATTTTTCTCTAAGCACCGCATTTTCAGTACATTTAGCCAGAAAGACGTACTTTTTACTGTGTTCGGGTTTTTGGAATATTGTTTTAACTTTTCTATTGTTGTTTTGCGTACAAAATAAAATCTCGTCGTCGTCTGCTGAAAACCATGGCCATTTTCTTGAATTTTGTTGTTAAAACAGCTCTAATCTGATTGGTTCTTGGTGGTTTTTTTTGTGTTTTCATCCAATCAGAAACCATTTGTAATTTGCACTCGTGTTACAGAAGAACTGCACTCCTTTCTCAGCCAATCAGAATTGAGTAATTTTTTCGTGTATATTATTTGGTCATCCAGGTTATGGTCAGTTGACAGCTGTCAAAATAGGGTATCTGCTAATCCGTGCTACATGACCGTATCGCGGGCTCAGGTGTACATTCACCCGTTGGTGACATGTTTTTTAAAGTTCTTCGCTGACCAAATATTGGATTTCAATTGATAGCAGGCTCAGGTCCATCTTTCAGGAGGAATCCAGTTTGCTTTTTGTTTATAGCGAAAGTTGAATTACTACTTACAGACACTTCTTAAAAGATACCTCGAGAGCTTCACTTTTGGCCTTGGCTAAATCTTTATATTTCTAGCCAATAAATGATGAAGGTGAAGGAATCATGCGAGCATCATTGAGAGCTAATAATCGCATTAAACTTAAGCCCTGTGTTTAACTACTTTCATTTGTCTCGTATTTAGGTTTTCATTTTTTTCTTACAACTGTTTTGTATATACTTAGTGTTTTACTGTTATTCTGTTCAAATTCTGTTCGAAAATGTTACTACAGTACATGCCTTAAAAGTCGCTTATTCTGGTCGAAATTTTGCCAGTAGAGTTTATCAAGCCTAAGGGGGCGAACGTAAGGCCGGGTTCTCCTCTAAAGCGAAGGGAGTAAATTGATCCCTGCGTCAACATTTCGGAATAATCCTCATTCCCTTATCCTAAAGTTTTAGTTAGTAATTAAGTTATTCAAGATTTTTTTGACCCAGGTCTACATAGTTAATAAGTTCTGGCACAACGTACTGTCGTTGTTCGTGGTTGTCCCGTGTCAAACATGTGGTGTATCTGTAACTTTTTTATCAAAACATTTTCCGCTTTGTGATTCAGACACGTTTTCACTGATACGCTTGTAACAGCATGAGGAATAAATAAAAAGTTACTGCAACATTTAAATGCCTTACCAGTAGTTTTAAGGTTTTCCAGCGAGGTAAACACACTATTTCCAAAATCTTGAGCGTCCTGTTTGCTTACAAAATTCAAACCGTAAAGTTGACTTTGGTCTGTCCATTGGTGAAAAGTTGGTTCTTGCCTGTTGTAGAATAATCCTTTTACCAATGCAAAGTTTATAACTACCTGCAACATAAAATATAGTTTAACCACATTTTTTCCAGGAAGTTATAAGTAGGAAGACCACGAAGACCTTCAGTTGTTAATCTGGTCTCCAGTACGTTAGTTTAATAAAGTGAACCCTCTCAGTTGAGAGATTCCCAAAAGATAAGTCCAGGCACTTAAACCAGCCAACATAACATCAACATTTCAAATAATAATAATAGTAATACCTCTTTTTCTTAAAACTCTGGGTATCTACCCTATGAGCAGAGGCTCTTCGATCTTCCCGACTTATCTAGGAACTGATCGAAAAGCCTCTGCTCACAGGGTACTGAGTATCCAGTGGACTCCAAGATTCCCACCTGGTTAACACCTTAAGGTCATATGGACTCTGAAAACCTACACTGAGATTTTTTAATGTAGTACACGTCAGCACTTTTGCTGTCCAGTTGACTCTCAGGCAGGGGTGGACAATGTTGGTACCGATTATAAGTTTCCTGTATCGTAGCCTGAAAGTTGTCCACCTTATAGAGAGGTTTATTAGAGAACTGTCTATCCCATAAAAGTGTTGTTTGAGGGGGAGTTGACTTTATATCAACATAAAGGACTGAAAAGCAATCATCAGTTTGAGTGCGGTCCTGAAAAAGAAATAGTTATGACTGACGTGTTTCGTCAACCAATGAAGACATCATCATTAAAAGGAGACTGGGTTAAAATGAGTTTAGGGTTTGCCATCCTAGTATTAAACTCTGGTTATTGACCTGATGAATCAATTGTGACACAACATTAATGGTCTGTCTGTTAAGTCGTTGGAAAAAGCCATTGTGTATAACTTAAGCACAGTTTCATCCTAGCTGATAGGAGGTAAAGGAAAAAACTCTTAACATTAACTAAGGGCAAACATACCGATTGATCTTTTTCCAGTCTGCCAACTATTCTGTATGTGTCGTTGACGGGATGATGATAAATATGGACAGTTGAGATTCCTTCTGAGCCACCAGAGTATTCCCAGTGTGTTTTTTCTTTGTTACATAGCATCACAGCTGCTTGTGCCTTGGCGATAGATTTCTCACTATAACAGCCAGGAAACACATTTGTAAGTCAGATTAAAACTATTCCATATTGTGAACAACCGGGTGACCACATTTTTGTATAGTCTACCTGTTGTCACCTGAAAAGCTTAAACTGCTAACGATAAGACAGTGATGATATTACTGCATTTGCATTATGGTATAAAGGAACATAGTTACAAGAGTTATGTCTTCATCATTTCTTCCTGCTCAGTGTTTCCTTGAAGGTTGATGGTTGTTGGTTGTTTATTTTAGACCGGAAGAAAATCTATGACAGTTGCCGTTTATCTTTTTGTTTGAGGAATGGCGGCTGGGGGAGGTAAGGAGCATACTGTATTGCATGTATTCATAGCCAATACTTTTACATTGTGCCTTCTACCGACTTGGTCATTTCTATTATTCACACCGCCGACCGTGTCTCAGCAATACCCGAAAAAAAAATTGTTTTATTTTATCACATCCTCAGATTGAACCGTTCGTTTCTCCTCAATGACGACCCTTCGCAGACTCTTGCTGCTAAAATATTGGAACCATCGTATTCATCGACTCTCATAGAGTGTGTTGGCGCAGGTGATGTCACAAAAGCCTTCCGAGTGATCTCAAAGCCAGTAGGAGAACAATTGAAATCGATCTGTTGCAATCATGTGATGATAACAGCTCACCTCATCTTTGAAAGAACTCGCGTACAAGGATGAAATCAGCTTATTCTCTCTCAATTCTGACAAAACAACCACGCATACAATGCAGTGACAATGCACATGTTTCCTCGTAAGTTAAGAAGATAGATAACCGGCTTTAACTGCTCCACTTCACCGAGATCTCAGTAAATAGCAGGGTGTAAATACCAGAGTTCCCGTTAGTAGTAGGGCTTCAGCAAACTTAACCGTTTTGGTGCGTTCCCTTTGCGTTCCGTGTGCGTTCCCTTAATTAATAGGCATATGGGTCGTTGGTGGATTCCCTTTGGATTCCCTCGCAAAAAGTGGATTCCCTTTATTAATATGTATAAGTGTCTTCCTGCATACTAATTAAGTGTCTTCCTGCATACCAATTCGGTATAGGTTTACTAATGAGCGTCACTCTACTACAATAGGAACAATAGACTTGCCTAGACTTGCCCGTTAAGTAACTTGAGCTCGGTTTTCGGACCGTCTATTAAAAGGAAAATAGGAGCGATCACCTAGCAACGCGAGAAACGGCGTCCTATATCTTATTTAGCGCTAAAACTCAGATATATATATAAACACAAAGTGGAGTTGGAAAGTCTTTATTTCAGTTTAGTTTATGTCTTCTTATCTAGCTCTAAAACTCGGATATATCAACAAAACATACACAAAGGGGAGCTGAAAACGCTTTATTTCAAGTTTGTCTGACTATTACAGAACCGTTTTCTCCCATCTATCTCGAGGAAATGAAAGTCTTGTCATTTTCACGCACGGTTAATCAGTTAATTATGCGAGTTCACAAGCCCAAAGTTGAATACAAATTAGCCCTACAGGAAAAACCTCAAGGGAGCAACCTTGACGTATTATTATAAAACAAATAACTTAACAAGGATCAATTCAAACACGCGACTCATAATTGCTAGCAATAAAATCAGACACGAGATACCGTTTAAAACAAAAAGAGTCAAATACACAGTGATTTGAAAGAAATCTTTTAAAATAGTCAAAGAAAGCAAGCCATCCTTTTTCTTTTTTGCATTGCGCACAATGTTTTACTTACCCCTCTCCCTTTTCAATTTTATTTCTCTCCTCATTTTTTTTTATTCCCTTCTCCACAATTTTATTATTTTCCCTCCTCAATGTTTTTATTCCCTCCTCCACAATTTTTATTATTTTCCCTCCTCGATGTTTTTTATTCCCCTCCTCCACCTCCACCTCCACCTCTACCTCCTCATTTCCATTGTTTTCTCTCCACCACCACCACCTCCTCATTTCTATTGTTTTCTCTCCACCACCACCACCACCACCACCGCCACATTTCTATTGTTTTCCCTCCACCACCACCGCCACATTTCTATTGTTTTCCCTCCCTTCACGACTCGCCGCACCCTTTCAGGGTTCGCTAACCCAACCTATACAGTATGTGGTCCTTGGTCCGCGACTTTTCCGAAAATGATAAAATATTTCGTCGAGAAAAAAAATACGTTGAATAATGAAACATATTGTGATTTACTGATTAGCATTCTTTCATATGACGAAGTTTCGGCTTTCTTGCTGTGGGTGAAGACGCGAAATTAAAGTTTGTTGACAGGTAGGTTAATTTGTCTTTCTTGAAGTTTGGATGTTTGCGGCACCGTAAATTACATGTTCATGTTTACTTAGCCTGCGAATAAATAAAACGCAACGGGAAGACGTGCCTTTTTGCAGAACAGGTTTTCAGATCAACTTATTTCTGCTGTTGGAAGCATATTGCTGTAGACTCTAAATTTTTTGTTTTATCGACTCTTGAAAAATATCACCAAAGATCGCTTAGCGGTCCTTTGTCCGCGACCTATGACCTTCGTCGAATAAAACTTCCCAAAATAAAAAGAGACGGCCTTTGTTTTCGAAGAATGTTTTGAAAATTGTCCCTATACATGTCTACAAGTTCTCTTTTTTTAATACCTCGAATACTTACAGAGTTTTTGGTAATTATTTTCGACCGCGCTGAAAACCGCTCGTCGACGCTCGTGTGGGAGACTCGAGGAGACTGTTGTCTGAAGTCGTTGAAAGAAAAGCAGATTGTTTTATCCTCACAACATCTTCCGAAAAAAACTTTAGCTTAATTGCATCAAGAAAAGAAAAAAAATACATGAGATATTGTGAAAATCACGTTTTCGTGTGGAAACTATAACATTTTTACGTTTTTTTCGTGCTGCTTACCTGAGACACGGACCAAGGACCATCGAAAACGGTCGCCTTTTTTCGAATTCCAAGCAAAATATTTATGCCCGGAACTTGAAACTTCAGGATTATCGATTGGTCGTATACCCACCCAGCTGATCACAAAGGATCTGTCTTTTTCTTCAAGAAAGGGAAATCTCCCGTACCGGATTAGAAAAACTGTTAGCAAACGCTACAGACGATGACGAAGCGGCATTTTTTCACTTTCCGAATTCGAGCATGATTGAGACAATTTTCGAGCTTACAGCCATGCATTGCCGAAGCAAAAACTGCGACTGAAAGAAACAAACATTAGCAATCTAATCTGCAGTAGTGATTACGACACCTCCGCCGATGTTACACTATTCAGGGTCTCCCAAACAGTTTTGACTAACTTAATCAAAAAACGTAAATTCTGCTTTTCGTTGTAATACGTCAACATCGTCATGAAGAGACAGTTTGTCCCTCATACTTGACTTTGATAAACCTGTACGTTTTAAAAACAAAAAAAGGAAACAAAACAGGACAAAAGTAATCAGAAACAAAATAAATACAGAAATTCAGAAATCCCTTCCGAGAAACTGCCAAACCAGTGAGACAAAACAGCGAAGCAAACGTTAGTATTAAAATTGCAAATGTGTCCAGTTTTTCAATTTTAAATTTGCGCTCGAGGAAAAAGACTTAATACTTAGTCTGCACCAGAAAATGAAACTATCCTTAGCTGGCGGTCTACCATTCGTCCATTAAGACACCCCCGAGATTGCAATTAAACGTGTTTACATTTTTGAATCACTAACAACGCACAACAAATCAAGCGTATGGGGACACACGCTTTCAGCACGACCATGAAAGAGCTTAAAAAGAATACCAACAGTTGCTATCCCAAACTTTAAGGAAGTAAATATGTTCAGTTTTCGTTTCGTGTGTAAATTTTGAATTTCAGTCATAATCACTTTTAAAAAAAGGCTTTGGGAAAAAAAAATATTTTCTTTTCAATTTAATGATTTCCTACAGTAGAGAGAATTTCTTCCATACGAGGACCTTTTTAGGTAATACTGCGCAGCAAAAGCTATAAACAATTAAAAATATGTTTGAGTCGAATGTCTAGCATAGAGCCATGCCTGTTACTTCCGGATTTGCGTATAGTAAAGACGGCCATTTTTCATGAGAAATGCATCAGTTTATATGAAATTACAGCTTTCCAAAAATTGTGGTTTCGACACTTCGATACACTTCCCAGTTGCAGTAGAACGAAGGTTGAATAAATTTTATGTATTCTTTTGTAGCAACCGGGGATATCGAGCGAGATTTATAATAGTGAAATTATGATTAAATTAACACTCAACCAATCCAACTAACTGTAGGAGAAAGCAATCATCTCACCACTCAGAATCGGTTACTTTTGCACTTACTCAACCTGCGTGCAGATGAAAGTGAGCGAAGCTTGTGTCGGTTAAAGAGCCTTAAGAGACTCAGAAATTCATGCTTTTCTGTAATGGAGGCGAGAGCTGCTGAAGGTGCCTGCTTCCCCAGTAGACTAGAAAACTGGCTGATAATAATGCATCAGGAAGCAAAATGTATTTAAAACAGAGGAAACAAAATACTGGAGAACTATTAATGCCTAACTTTTTCCAAAAGAAGCTTAGTCCTTGCTTGTTTATGCCCGCTATTTCCAACCGTTGAGGATCAGTCTATAACCCCATCTTCCCAACATTTAAAGTTAATTTAGCTGAAAAGCTAGGGATCGAATTCAGTGCTCCATTCAGGTCATTTGAGTTTCGTTCATATGGAACCGATTCAAAGATATAGGAGCACTGAACTCGATCCCTAGCTTCTTAGGTAAATTAACTTGGGAAGTCAACACTATGGAACTGATCTCTTTTTTGTAACTACGCACCTCATTTTGCTTTGTACAGAAGTCAAATCCAAAACCTTCTCTCAACTGAGTTATTCACAGTACGTCGACCGGTAAAGAGCGCAGTTGTAGATAGACGTGCAACTGTTCGATCTAATATATGATTTGTTTAAACTTGCCTTTTGAGTTGGCTCATCCTATTGGTCAAAAGTCCTTTCCGAGAAAAGCCTGATCAAATCATTATGGATCATAAACATCTATCTTGTCTATCACTATCCGGGATCTAAGCGCCCTATTGTTCTTGTTTTGGAACCACTCTTAGGAGGGCTAAAGTCAGCAAACAGATTAGGGACTTAATATTTCGGTTATAAGGTTTAACTTAATGAGACTGCGCGCAACTCGTGCGAATACGGAAAATACTTTATTAAACGCTCTAATATTATCTACTAAGATCCATAGGCCCTATTGTTTCCTACAAAAAATACACCAGGGGCCGGTTGCTCGAAGCCTGGTTAGCGCTAACCGTTGGTTAAGAGGTATCAAAATGTATAGGTTTCCATGGTATTTAACGCTGGTTAGCACTAACCATGCTTCGAGCAACCCGGGCCAGATCGTCAATGGCTTATAAAATTCGAAGAGGCTTCCTCAATTCTGTTTATACTCTGCAGTCCTGCGAAGAGTGCTCGGAAGGCAATGCAACGAGGAAAAAAGGTAGAAAAGAAGACTCCCGCCTCATATAATAGAATTTACGTACACGAATAAGCGTGGGCCTGAATAAACGCCGGAGTTTAGAGTACAAATAACACTATGTGCCATAGTCCTGGAAAAATGCAGCCCTTGTTGAGTTGATTCGAATTATTCTTTTAAATATTTGTGATGTTCTGTTATGCTGATGTCGCTGAGGAAATAGACCTTAAAACCTATCTTTTGTTACGTTTTTCGCTTTCCATATCGTTTTGAATAAGTCAAAGAGAAAAGAAAAAAGGACCTTCGAATTTCGATTGCATTGAGGAGATCAAACATAGACTGATTTGATCTAAAGTAACTACACCTTCCAAAGCTTTACTTTATTTTTTTCTATAATATGCAAATCAAAAGCACCGGTCTCGACAAGATCTCTGCGCGACTTCTTCGTGAATGCCCTGACCTTATCGCTTATTTTGTTGTATTTTCAATTGTCTGTTGTAACGTGCAGGCATTTTTCTTGAAGACCCGAAATGCTCTAAAGTAATTCCCCTATTAAAGTAGGTAGTACGTTCCTACTTGAATAACTTCGCCCAACCTCCAAAATTCGTCTTGCAGCGGAAGTCTTTCAGGGAATCGTTTACGATCAATTTTATAACTTTAACGAAACGTATAACTACCAGGGGCACCCAACGACAATTTTCGGAAGAATATGTTTTCGGAAGACGATTTGAGATCTAGAATTTTCGAAACATTTGTTGTAAAATTTCTTGCTTGCCTGCCTCCCCTAGGATTTTCGAACATCCAAAAAATGGTATATTTGCCTATTTTTAACGGATTTTTACCCTAACTTGAAGGTCACCTAGAATTTTCGGAAGCCATTTTTCTGGGTGAAATTTTCGAAAAGGTAAGTTTTGATCCCTATAATTTTCGGATCACTAGACTTTCAGCTAGGAAATCCGAACAGATGAAAAATTTTTAGGGGATAAAAATATGCCTATATCTACCGTTTAAATACTAAAATACGTTTAACAATGCTATGTTTAAGTGGTTTTGAACTATATTCTCGTTGGGTGCCCCTGAACTACCACTGATTATTAAGCATTTTGTGCGCTCCACTTAACTGCCAGGGCCTAGCCAGAACCTGTTGACAACCAGGCTTTCAATATCGATAAATGCAAGGTTAACGTTTTCTGACATTCTATCCTTTAATCTTAATTGCTATAGTTCAGAAACGCTTCTTTCAGGGGCACCCAACGACAATTTTCGGAAAATATCTATTCGGAACACGATTTGAGATATAGAATTTACGAAACATTTTTTCCAAAATTTCTTGCTTGTCTGCCTCTCCTAGGATTTTCCAACATCTAAAAAATGGTATAATTGCCCATTTTTAACGGATTTTTGCCCTAAAAAGGTCACCTAAAATTTTCGGGAGCCCTTTTTCTGGCTGAAATTTTCAAAAAGGTAGGTTTTGATCCCTATAATTTTCGAATCACTAGACTTTCAGCTAGGAAATCCGAACAGATGAAAAATTTTTAGGGGATAAAAATATGCCTATATCTACCGTTTTAATACTAAAATACGTTTAACAATGCTATGTTTAAGTGGTTTTGAACAATATTCTCGTTGGGTGCCCCAGTTCTTTTAAAAAAGTGTTTTGTGAACGGTTCTCTCTATGTCAGTCAATGTGTAACTAGCAGTATCCTTATAGTCAAATGATTCGTCCTCTTCTCTTTATACTCATTAACCTCGGTCTTATATTGTAGATGGGTGCATGGCATCTCCGCGGAAACGTTAAGTCTTGGTCTCTATCCTTTCTAACTTAATTCAATCTTAATCTCGGATAATGCATGGAATTTCGTTATCCTTAGAACTGCCTCCGCCACCCAGAGGCTGGAGGGCATGTCTAGTTGGTTCTCCCGAACTGTCTGAAATGTTTGCAGGGCAAAGAGTTTTCAAAAACTCATCAGCTTGAGCCTCTTCGCAGGCCCGGCGTCCCTCCTCGTGATAAGCCTCAAACATCCGGGGTGTGAAGAATTGATTGACGGTGTTATGTTGGGGGAACGCGTTACAAAGGCACTTAGACAAACCAGCACATAAACTTGATTTGCTGTGACAACACTCGCAGCAGCAGAAAGTTAATTCCTTGTTTTTTTCTTTGCTCAGAATATCCTCGGGTTTCCTTGGAACAAGAAGAATGATTTCTCCATCTTCATTTTCTGTATCATAGTGGACTTTAAATCTGTATAAAAACATTTTTACAGGGTTAACTGTGATCGGTCTTGATATAGCATGGTAAACACTGTTCAATTTAAAAACAAATTAAGGTGTTAATCGTTCTTAATCAAGAAATACGAAAAAAAGTAAGTACAAGCACGAGCTGCATTCACAGCCGCAAAAATAAAAACTTTTTAACCGTCAGAGGCCAGTCTCCTAATATAACTGACCCTAACGTAAGGCGTGTCTTATAACGTCTTGGTGTTAAAATAAAGAGTTTCATGATAGGCCTCTGAACGTAACTAGTTTGCTGTTATGTCTGCCGTTATAAGCCCGCAACCTAATGATCACCTGCATATTTTGCTTGCGCTTTAATGATTGCAAAGTATGTGAGTAAACATGGAATTGCAATTTAACTTTTTCAAGCATGCACTCATGATTCAGCGCCGCCATTAATGACTTCAAAATCATCACCGCAAAAAATTTCAGGGGACAAAGTTATTAGCGATCAATGCATGAGACATTTAAAAGAATTTGATTGTTCTAAGGTAGACCCGTTTTTATCCCCCTGAACGTCCTCATTGCTGAAAAAAAAAAAATGTTCGGCACCCGCCCGTTCTTACGTCCCATCCGCTACGAGGGACAATAAACGTCCTGTTTACTTCAAAATAGTCTAAGAACTTATAGTCTAGTAACACTTTCACTTCCAGAATGAATAGCGACTTCCATATTCATGCAAATGAAACCTCTTTGGCATTACTTTCACAAGGTGCTATTTGTTTTTTATTATGTTGCAAAATGAAATTTAGAAAATTTTGTTGTATTTGACTTTGCCCACTTTATATAGAGTGAAAAGGTTAAAGTTTTGTTAGAACGAGAGACGTCATTGCCAAAAGAGTTCTATTCAAACTATAGAAAAGGTATGATATCATAAAGCGGAGAGTACATACTTGTAACAATGTGGTTTGTTCCGTTTTTGAGGGTTCACAAACGATCGCATCAGGCCTGTAATGACATCTTTGCCATCTTCATTATAAAATGAGCAGTTCAGCTTTGTACGAGCAATCTTCAGTGCATCAAGAAGACTGTCTCCGTATTTGTCCTTTTTGTCTTTATGTCCTCCGTCCACAACAACAATCCTTTTCAGTTTCCTCTGCAATAGTGGCAAAACGGCCAGATTTTGGTAATGACCACCGTCGCTGAGTAGCAAGACTGCTGGTGGAATTGGCCCAATGGTGTCCTTGGAGAATAATAATCTCAGATTGTAGACGAAAGAATTGTGCACCGTAAACCACCTGAAAAGAGTCAGCGATGGATGGTTGGTTTTTCAAAACAAATCTTGCATGCTCCCCTCCCTCAGAAAATATTGTTAATGGCTGGATGATGATGATGATGATGAAGGATGATGATGGTGATGATAATGATGATAGCTCATTTTTGCCTCGAGTATTAATGAAAATGGAAACAAATGGAATTCCTTAACTGCGTTTTATATTAGAAGTAACTGAAGCCTGTTCTTTTGCCCACATTCATTCGGCGCTTACATAGTGCTCGTGTACAATATGGCTAACATCGATGTCTTGGCAACAGCAAGGAAAAGACTTACCCACTGTAACCAAACTGTAGGGGGAAACCGAAACGAGCCGTTTATTATCAAATAGCAGAAACATGTCATCCTGACGGACACAAACAATTCTCTCACCTGACAATGTTTGCACAGAATCCTGAAATAATTGAAATAACACTTTCCGGATACCCTTCATTCTGTTCTGTTTTCTCATCTGAGACAGGACCTGGCATGGCCGTTTCCTCCACTACTGAATCAGGAACCTGGATGACAGTTTCGTTACACCTTCCTTTCTGTTCCTCCTGATATAACCCAGGCTTCGCAATAACAGTTTTTTCACACCCTTCTTCTTGAGCTTCCGCCCCTTGATCAGGAACTGTCGTGGCAGTTTCTCTGCGCTCTTCCACTCCTAAATCAGGAACTGGCACGACATTTTCTTCTCTCTTTTCTCTTTGTTCTTCCACTTTTGAACTGTGAACTTTGATGGGATTTTTTTCACACCCTGAATCAAGGACTGCGATGACAGCCAGCATGACGTGTATTCCAAAGAAGATTCCCACGGAACACACAAGTGATAATTCATAATGGTTATGATCATGATAGTAAAAGATCGAGGGGATTGTTAAGGGAATTCCACTTAAAATGTATATAACGAGCTCCTTCATCTGTAAAGTTATAAAAAGGACAAAAAGGATAGTAAAGAAGCTTATAAGGAAGGTTTTGGTGAACAGAACGACGGTAAGGTTAACAGGTGAATACTTATTGAATTCAGATGAAGTTGTTGTTGATGATGATGATGATGATGATGATGAAGGTGATGAGAACAATGATTGATAGGTTTAAAAAATGACCTCATTTCTAACTACAGTCGAACCTCTCGGTACGGACACCTCTCTATTATGGACAGTTTTCAATGTCCCGACAAAATTCTCATATATTTTTTAAAAAAACCTCAGTAATACGGACTCTTTCTAATACGGGCAACGGACACTAAATCTCGGCCCCAGAGAGTAAATTCATGTGAACTTATTCTCTTTATTACGGACACTGCGGTGCTCAGGTGAATCCCGAATCCCGATCAGGTGAATCTGCACAGGGTGAATCCCGTCTAGGCTGGTTAATGATCTGTGCAAGATGATATGAAGCCCAGTCGCTTTATACCAAACAACTATTTGCGAAAGGTGTACAAAGGAACATAACCGACTTTTTGAAGGCTTCAATAACTACAGATAGCATTAAGATCTTTTCTATTAGAGTTTGTACTCTATTTACTGTTTACTTCACTTGCAAAATAGCGAAAGACACTTTCAGAATTGTGCTTTACGTTACAACTTTTTCCATGCAGCTTTGCGCTGTTGCTCGTTTCGTTTTAGACCAGTGATTTGTCTGTAGCTGAGATGTACAATGTTCTATGCTACTGAAAGACAGTGTCTTTGTACTGTGAATTAATAACTTTAAATGCAGTTTAAAGACCAGTGTGGACCTGGTTTTAGCTACTGAACACGTCAAACTGTAAGTACAGTCTTAAAAGTGACGTCATCACAGTGACCACTTTTATACGGACACTTCACTCTGTCCCTTCGGTGTCCTTATTAGAGAGGTTCAACGGTACGATAAATGCTCGAAAGTTGCGAAGACAATTATCAAGGAAGATGATTATCAACGTGATGACCATTTACGTGCCCGCTTGATATGACCATCTGCAACCACATTCGAACAAAACGTTAAAAACACTCAATCATTTCTTTCATCATCAAAACCTCTTTGATACAAACAACCATATATATATACTTTCTTTTTATACTCATCGTTTTGCCATCTCCGCCTGCAAATAGTAAGAGTGAGACGAGGCCGGCGGATTTCCATGGCCCCTTACGCATGGTTTCAACGAATAAGGTACTGTTTTAGAAACAAAATAAAGTGCATGCAGAGGAAAATGAAAAACGTAAAAACGGCACGTTTTTCAGACCACTTCGAAAAGCGGAAGCTTTCCCCGTTGGTTGCTCTTGTGTGGGTACGCCACTTTCCAACACCTAGCCTGCGAACGACAGACGTTTCTCCTCGCTTATCGCCTGCTGGGTTCGCTGAAGTTTGCGAAACGTCTCTCAGCAGCGATGAGCGAGGAGAAACGTCTGCCGTTCGCAGGCTATCCAACACCAGTTATTCTATATACATATATTTCAGGCGAAGCACTGTTAAATTGCCACAACTGATCGATTTCACAACGTACGAGAAATTCATCGAGAAAACATGTTTAATACGAGTATTACCTTTTTAAATGCGCAACTTTGTTTTCGGTGTTTTGAATCACTTATCTTTGTGGACCCCATTTCAAGTCCAAGAATTGTGTGATGCACTCATTAACGTTTTGCCTCCCAGTTATTTTGCAGGTTTTAATTGCTGCTGTTTTCGTTACTGATTGCAAACAGCTGAAACTTGCTCAAACTGCATAAACTACCCATCTCGTTTAATTTTTGAACCTAGTTGGTATGTACGGCTACATATTCTATGGGTTAACTCGTTTGCTAATGAGCAAAAATTTAAAAAATGACATCATGATAATCCGCCCATTACGAACTGTCACCAATACGAACAAACCGTTTTATCAGCGACTGCTCTAGTCTTATTTCTTCTTCAATTACGTCTTTTAGTTACATTTAGCTTGTTTTCCGCAGGTTAGTATGTGATTAACTGGCATTGTTTCATTCGCTCTTCATTTTGAGGTGTTCCGTGAATGTAGATAATATCAAATCTCATGCCGGCTAGACTTACCATATATCAACCTCGCCAGTTTCTAAGCGCGCGGGCAGGCTTTTTTGCGGTCAAGCTAGACAGCGGACGAAGTACGTTTTTGAAAGTAAGCCTTCAAACTGATGAAGAGCGCCCGCTTAAGCAAATGTTTGCGTCAGAAAAGAAGCGAGGAGAACGTCTAGTTAACGAATTATGGTTGAGGAAAACGAGCAGCTGACCGTAAAACATCTGAAAATATAGAGCAAAAACAGTCGTCATTGTCTTCTAAGTATGATAACTTGCTGGAAGCTACTCCAGGTGACAAATGAAAAAATACAAGAGGTGGGGAAGTCGTGGAAGGATTTGTTAAAAGATTACATCAAATCTTGAGAACTCGATGTATGGAAATGAGGTAGCCATAGATGATGTGCAGCGACATTTACGGCGCGATTGTCTCTAGATCGTTGGGATTCACCCACGCGTCCCCGAGGACAATCCCAAGCAGTTGGTACAAGAAGTTGGATCGCTCATAGATGTTGACAGTGATGTAAATGATATTTCGACGGCGCACCGACTGCCTGATACGAAGATGGTTAAAAACAGAATTATTGTCAAGTTCGTGCGTTGTGATTAGCGAGAGGATATGTACATGAATCGTAGGAAATTGGTAAGGAAGAACACCTCGACTCTCCAGTCAGTTCGTGAGGAAATAGAAAAGAGTATTCCATCTGGAAGCAAAATACACATAAATGAATCGCTTACCGCCTATAGGAAACGCCTATTTGGAAAAATACACAAGTTTAAGCAAGACAATGATTTAAAGTCTCTATGGACAGCTAATGGAAAGATATTACGATGGCCGGAATGCCTGGAATTCACACTCACTTACAGGCAGCTCATATTTTCACTAATCAATTGGCAAAAACGTCATCTATTTAAAGGTAAGTCATGTATACTATATTATATGAGTAAAGAAATAGTGATCGATAATCGTGTTTATAAAACTCATCCGTATTATGACTTATATGCGGGTTCGGTAAATGGACAAGTAATCCATATTATTAAACAAATACCACACTATGGACAAAAACATAGTTCAGGATATATGCAAGTTACGATAAGAAAGTAGGCAGAAAAAAAGCAAAGGAGATATTTTGTTCACCGGTTTATATGGGAGTGTTTTAATGGTCTTATTACTAATGATAAAGTGATTGACCATATTAATTATCAAAGAGATGATAACCGACTTTGCAACCTACCCTTAATAACGCAACAAGAAAATTGTCTAAAATCGGCGAAAAACGGGATTATAAATTTGCTAAAAACCATCAAAATAGAAAGTGTGTAAAAGCTATTAATCACGAAACAAATGAAATTACATATTATAATAGTTTATACGCGGCGCAGCAACATATAGGAGTTAATTGTGGTATAGTAAAGATGTACTGTCGCAATTTGTAATAATCATCGCACTTTATAATACCTGTCGCGATTTGTAATAAATCCATCGCACTTTGTAATACCTGTCGCAATTTGTAATAAACCGTGTCGCACTTTGTAATAAAAAAGGTGTCGCAATTTGTAATAACAGTCCATCGTACTTTGTAATAAACTAAGCTGTCGCAATTTGCAATAATTCCATCGCACTTTGTAATAATTTTTGAGTGTGATTCAACTTGCTTCGTCAATATTAATATAATGCCAAAATATGCATGGTACTTCATAAACAAAGATGATGACGTCTTCTAGCATGTAACATGTCCGTAACATTTTCTTTGGTCAAACATGCATGTCCTCCGCTATAAATTTTTCTGTCTTGATTAATTACGTGATTAACTAGAAACGCTTTTATGAAAGACATGAAACTGCCTGTGACATATCACCAAAAAGATATGAATCACGTTTAAATTCAAAAATATTTAAATAAGAAAGGCAACATTTAACAACAGAAAATTCATGAATAACCTGGCATTCGTCGTCCAAATCAATGTTTGCTTGCCACGTGACACGTGAAGTCTTCGGCAGGGGGGGGGGGGTACTCCCATATATGGATGGGCTAGATAGGTAAGTACCGCCTGATAGGGTATGGTTTTTGAGGATCTCGAGCCTTTAATAGGGTATCATTTTTTACGTTGTTGGCCTTGTGTCTTTGGTTTGATCCTTAGATAAGGTAACTCAAGTAGTGATGGATGGTTTATTCCATCCTTTCCATTTTGTAGAAAAACACTAATCCAGAACACGCTCGGAAGAATTGCAAGGTCTTACGAGTTGTATATACGCAGGCAAGGATTATTTTTTACCATCCCCATGGTATTTGCTTTAGAGGACTCCTTACAGAAAACAATTGTTTTAAGATGGAATGAGTACTGCTTTTGTTCCTATATGAGACCAAATCAAGTGAGAATAATGGACCAAATGCCCAACCGGCTCAGTGTAAGACTCCAATTAACTGTTATAAAAACAGGTACATACGAAGGTATTGGCCAGCAACTAATTGGATTTTGTGGTTAGGTTTCTGTTGTGGTTCGAAGGTTTGCCACTGGTGACGCTTTTTTTTTTATTTGCAGTAAACATTTTGAATCTTTCCAGGCCTCGTTTGATTAAGTTGGAAGCCACTATTACTTCTTTAAGATTGCTCGTTAGACAAGAACGGTGTACCACGTGTTGTGTCAACCTGTTATAAGATCTAACAAGGAAAGCTTCAACTTTCCTGGTGTCCTTATTCGAATGGTGTAGGATGGATGTTACGATTAGCGGAAATTAAAAGCTTTTTAAGAATGGCTTGTTTGTGTCTAGTGTGTCTAGCTCTGTCTAGATCCTCTACTCTGGCAATGCTCTGTCCAGAGGCACATCCCCGTATTGGCCATATAAGGAAGTACACCCGCCGGGTAACCATTGAATGCAAGCCACCTAGTACAATAGCAAGGTTCAAGAATACAGCATTTCGTAAGTCAGATAACTAATCAACATTAATCTAAAAAAATGTTTAGGACTGTGAATAAAGTTAAATGTTTGAATGAGCGGAGATGTTACTTGCTAGCAGACGTCATCTCCATCTTTGTTTATGAAGTACCATGCATATTTTAGCGTTATATTAATGTTGACGAAGTAAGTTTAATTACTCTCAAAAAGTTATTACAAAGTGCGATGGAATTATTACAAATTGCGACAGCTTAGTTTATTACAAAGTGCGATGGACAGTTGTTACAAATTGCGACAGCTTTTTAATTACAAAGTGCGACACGGTTTATTACAAATCGCGACAGGTATTACAAAGTGCAATGATTATTTCAAATTGCGACAGTACAAAAGATGGTATGTGAAGGTATTAATAATTGTAAAACTGGGATTTCTTAGTTAGATGGCCAACATTAAAACTTTGAATATGTTACACAAGAGGAAGTGCCAACAGACTATAAATAATCAGCAAATAAAATGCCTCATAGACATACTGTCGATGAGAAAAAGATGTTACAAAGAGAATGGGCTAAGAAAAAGTATAATTGTATGAGTTGTGGTAAGTGTATAACAAATGGAAGTAAATATATGCATAATAAAAGATGACAGTTGTGTAATAACATATGTTAGTGAAAAATATTGGGACAGTCAGGGAGGCTTATACCTCAAATGCCCTATAGGAGTAATATGAGAAAACGCAGCATGACGAGCTATAACGTCGAGCCAAATTGTCAAGTGTGTTTAAATCAGAATGAAAATGTATATAGTATTAATAATGTGGATCAAATAATCTACCCTAATAGTATGAATAGAGATCTATCAAAAATGACCAAAGAGCAGCTATTTAATATGCTACTCGGTCAAAAGCCTAAAACTGCGCGCACTAAAGTAGTAGGACCAGTTGTTAAACAGACTGTGAGCGCTAAGGCAGGACCAGTCTTCAAGCCTAAATCACTCGTACAGTTAGCGGCTGAAAAATTAGAACATTCTATAAAACGACTAGCCATACTACCCAAACAGAGTGATAAAATGCCAACATTAAAAACGCTGGCAGCAAATGCAATGGTTAAGGACAAAATCAAGTACTTTGAGAATCTATCCGATAACTAGGCTTCTACTGTTAGGTTAGATAAAAAAAGCCGGATCATTGCAAGACATGAGGGATGAAGAATTGGAACATGCCAGAGTATCAAAGTATATGAAAGATTCCTCGTTTCAGAATTTTTTCCATGATAGAATAAACCAAATGCCTGGTAAACAGGAAAGAGTACATAACCAGATCCAATTACTTTGTCGAATATTTACATTTTGATAATAATGGCATATTAGATGGTTTCATAGATCACAAGAAAAATGTCGGATTTGACTAATAATGATGGCGAGTTTTATATTGACGAATATGTATTTAACAGAATGGGCAAGGGTATCAAGATTCAAGCTGGATTTATAGAAAACACCTAATTCATGCATTAATTCAACAATTTAAAATGCCAAATGTCAAATGGTATATCCAAGCACGTAAAACACTAGACCCAGATACATTCAAAAACTACCTGTTATTAGAAAATCCATCAAAATAAAAAATTCTCTCCTCCAGTCGAGTGATCTTTTAAATTATAAAATATACAGAAATATAATTTCTAGTCTTACTCGGCTGAGTAAAA